TGTGACCCCACGTACAACAGGATGGGATGTCACCACTAACTCCTGTGACCCCACGTACAACAGAACGGGATGTCACCTGGTCCTGTACCATCGTCACAGGTGTTGCAGCTGTAGGGGGTCATCTCCTAGAACCATATCAGACAGTGTTCTGTTGTGACCCATTGGGTTGTCATTGACTGATTATTTAGAAGATCACCAGACCTTTCTTCCTTATCTTAGTTTGGAAGTTCCACTGAAACCTGCCCACCATAGGTGATCCTACTGGCATATGAAATATTGATGGCATAGCTTCCAGCATCACAGCAGCCTGCAATTAGCACAGTGCAACAAGCTGACAGACAGGTGGCAGTTTCTTGACACAGACAGGAGTAATCAAAGAGAAGAGAAGTACAATGATTACTGTGCCTAGCATTTCGAATCCATAAGCTGTTCTGTGAGAGAAAGATACAGGAGTCTGTTTCTGTAGAGATTTACAACTTTGGAAACCCTATGGTGGTTGGTGGTGGTTATGTGCTGTGGAAACCCTATAGGGGTCAGTTTTACCCTTTCTATGGGGACACTATGAGTCAGAATCGACTAGACAGCAGTGGGTAGAATTGGGTTTGATAATCATGGATAAACTACATTGTAGGATTGAGATACAGTGTTAGCGATAAAAACACGGCTTGATATGAGGGCTACCAGTCAAATCCCATCACCGGACACTTTTAGGGCCTTGGTGTATGTCTTCTCCTTGACAGCTGTGTGCTGTGTAAATAATCACTTACTGGAGTCATGGGGAGAACCTGGGCTAAGGACCCACAGGTGATAGGTCCTACCTCTGTGTATCATTTGCTCTTCTCTAGTTTATATGGTAACCTCATCCTCCTGCCTGCTCTCAACCATTTCTGCACTTGGTCAGAAATCCCTCACCACCACCCTGGAAACAGCGTGCAGTCTAGGAAGGAGGGCAAGGGTTGTTGATTAGTATTTCTATAGGATAAAGCACTGCCCTGCAAGATTGGTTTGAACTGCAGTGTCAGCAGTTCAAACCCATCAGCCACTCCTCAGAAACCCTATACTGGGTGCTATGAGTCAGAACTGACTCGATGACACTTAACAAATGATAGTCTAGCTCTGGTAGCATAGTGGTTACGAATTGGGCTGCGAACCCTAAGGTCAGCGGTTCGAAACTACCAGCCACTCCGCGGGAGAAAGATGAGGCTTTCTACTCCCGTAAAGATTTACACCCTCGGAAACCCTGTTCAGGGTCGCTATGGGTCGGAACCGACTCGACGGCACTTAACAACAACAACAGTCTAGTTTTCTAGAAAGAACTCAAATAGTTGTTTTGACGATTATGTGAAAATTCATGGTCTAAAGGTATTCCACAGTTAAGTTGTTTTCTTTCTCTTTCCTCACATTTCTAGATACCACAAACCAAAGAGCCTTCTGACACCAATAATGATGGTAGTTAGCTTATGTATGCCAGTCCCTGTTCTAAGCATTCATTCATTTCATCCTCATAACAAGTATAATAATTGTTAGTCAGCTCCAACCCATGGCAACCTCATGTGCATCATCAGAGAAGAACTGTGCCCTATATGATTTTCAGTGGTTACTTTTTCAGAAGTAGACTGCTTTTCTTTCAAGGCCCCTCTGGGTGGACTAGAGCCTCCAACTTCTCAGTTAGTATTTGCACCACTGAAAAACTGTAAACAATTCTGTTGTTATGTGCCATGGAGTCGGTACCGACTCATAGCGACCCTGTACAGGGTTTCCGACGCTGTAAATCTATATGGGAGCAGAAAGCCTCATCTTTCTGCCATGGAACAGCTGGTAGATTGGAACTGCTGACCTTGTGGTTTGCAGTCCAGTTCCTAACCACTATGCTACCAGAGTGCCTTAAACAATTCTGTTAGATAGGTCATTATTATTTTTCGTGTTGGAAACGGAGGCACCGAGTAGTTATGTACGTTGGCTAAGGGTGTTCCCCTGGTAATTCATGCCCCGCTGTCTGCTTCTAGAGCCCGTGCTCTTACTATTTCATCTTCCTGTTTCTCAAGTGAGTGGAAATTGCATTGCTTCCATTGGGATGGAGGGGAACGAAAGTGGACTGAGTGCTGCCCCTGTGTTCTGCAGAGGAAAACCAACGCCTACTGATGCTGCACCCCAACATGGGCAGGCTGCTGCCCTCACTCTTGTGCTCCAGAGTTGTGACCATCCGGCAGCAGAGCCTGGTCCTGCTGCTACAGATGGCCCAGACCGAGAACGGCCGGAGCCTGATCCTCAGCCACATTGACCTGACCAGGTAAGGCCTTGAGGGCGGGCAGAACCTTACCTGAGGCATCTCAGACCACCACCTGAGAAGTGAAGATTTGCCTGGGTTCCTTCTCATGCCTCTGACACATGAGGTGCCACCAGGCTTGACTGCAGGCCTTTGAAAGAAACACTGTTCCACAGGCCAGACACCTATCGGACCTCCTACCACGAACAGTTTCACTTCCTCTGAGCAGTTGGCTGGTTTCCATCACACAGATACTGTAGGCATCTTCCATAGCCAGATTGGGGACCCACACTTAAAATATGTCATTTGCTTTTGCCCGTTAGCCTCCCTCCTGAGTCTTTATTTTTCCTTCTTTCATTCCTGTTTGAGGTAACACTGTTATTTTGCATGTCCTTAAACTCCTCTGGCACAAGGTGGAGAAGTATCAATAAAGAAACCCAATCTCAAAAATGTTACAATTGGGTCTTTCCCAGGCTTAAGGTAACATTTGTGAGCCTCCCACCACCCTTTTATGCTGTCTCTACTTAACAAATCAGGGACCCCGGGATCCTGTCCCTTGGTCCTCGTCTCAACAGTGGCTTTAAATACCACCAATAAATTCCCCTCTCTCTCTGAACACTAGATGGATGCCACTGGACTTCTCCATCCCAGTGCCCATTGCTCTTATTGTTACTAAGTGCTGTCCAGTCAGTTCCAACTCATAGTGACCCTGTATAGTGTTTCTGACAGCGGTTGACGTGGGCTTGAAACAACAACCTGTTAGCAGTCCATAAGTTTCATAAACTTAAAAAAATTCCAAAATGACTTTTCAAACCGGGTGTTCTGACTGAATCTCCTGTCTCTGTAGATGGCATTTCCTCCCATCTGGTTGCCTAAGGTTACCCTAGGTCCCTGCTGTCTGAGCTAGCTAGTGCTGCTTCAACAGACACAAGTGGGCGACTCTGACAAACCCAGTTATTTCCTCACAGTTTAGGAGGGGGCTTTCTCTGTCGACTTTGGAGGAAGGGTCTTGTCTCTTCTATGTTTCTGCTATAGCATCTTCACGTGTGGCTTGACATCTGAGTCACTTATATGGAATATTAGAATAGGCAAGTCTGTAGAGACAGAATGTAGATGGGTGGTTACCAAGGGCAGAGTAAGGAGAAGTGGGGAGTGGCCTCTTAATGGATACCCAATTTATTTGAGTGTGTGTGTGCGGTGGGGGACAGTAATGAAAATGTTCTATACATAGTGGCGACAGTTGCCTAGCATTGTGAATATACTTAAAATGAACATTATACTTTAAAATGGTTAGAACAGTAAAGGTGATATCGTGTGTCTTTTACCACATTAAAAAAAGAGAAACTTGGCTGAAACCTTTCAGCCTTCTGGGAATCACACTGCGTGGTGGCGCCATTGGCATAGGATAGTGTCCTGTCTCTTTGGGGTACAGCTGGGCTTCCTAGAAGGGCAAGACAAGGCCATCCTCTCAGCTTCTTTCTCCCTGATTCTGACTCTTTCCTGATTTCCTTCAAGACCCCCCCGCTGGGGATGCCTTGAGTTTGAGGACCGCTTACTCTGGGTTGTTAATGGATTTTTGCAGGTTGTTGGAGGCCCTGGTGTCATTTTTTGATTCCTTAGATAAGAAGGCCAATACTGCCATGGAACTGCTCACAGACTTGGCTCTGGAAAACAGGTACATTTTATTTGCAGAAAGTGGCATTTCTTTTTACACCTCTGTTCAACTCTCTGACTCTCACAACTGAGCCACGTACAGGGAAGATGGGCACCACAGATTCACTCATAGCTGGACTGCCACCTTCTAGGAATCCCCAGGGGCCAGCACTTCCATACGGTCCCTGTGAGCATGGGTAACCTGGTTTTCATCGTATTCAGAAAAGTGCCTCTCATGTAGCCAGTTAGCCATGTGCTGGAGAAGGCCCTTCCTTCCCTAGTTGCTGCCTGGTACCTAGGAACTGGAGGTCTAGTGTGGTGCTGTGGGCTAATGCGTCAGACTGCAGTCGTTTGAACTGCAAGGTCGGTGGTTCATGCTCACCAGCTACTCCTTGGAAACCCTATACAGGGTCGCTATGGGTTGGAATCGACTCAACAGCACTTAACAACAACAACCTAGTAACTGCTCAGCAAAAGTTCGTTGAATGAATGTTAGTGAGTGAGGATGAATAGTAACAAAAACTGTTAGCTCTCATGGGTTCTCTCAATTTTTTATTTATTTAATTTTTTGCTTAGTTGATGTGAAAGACAATAAAAGTCTTAAATTCTCCATAATTCTTGAGAAATCAGAGTTGTAACCATTTGTGGTTTTGTTTTTTTTCCTCAAAACACATCTTGGTTTTTTCAGTTCCTCACAAACTTTGGGGTATCTTGTCTGAGAGATGACCTGTAATGAGAGAGAGCGGCTCATGCCTGCCAGCTGACCCGGGCTTGGTACTGCTGTTAAGTGCCACCAAGTCAGTTCCAACTCACAGCAACCCTGCAGAGGGTTTCAAAGGAGCAGCTGATGGGTTTGAACCACCACCCTTGAGGCTAGCAGTCCAGTGCTTATCATACAGTGTCACACCAGGACTGGGAATGTTTACTAGCTGCTCTAGCATGTGGAACTATGAGTGCATCTGGAGCCTGCTAAGGGTTGTGACGAGGAAGCAGGCTTGCACTGTATTTACTATTTGCACGGCTCACAGTAATCATATATAGACTCCGAGCAAGAAGAGGGGGTGGTATATCAATTTGGCAGAAACCTAAAAATTGTGGCAACTTCTGCTTAAGAGAGCTACCATCGGAGTTCTTTCGTTTAACTTCAAAGGCAGTTCTCCAGACTTGGGCACGTTAAAACCACACTGCATACTCAGTGACCTTATTTTTGTTGTTATTCAGCATGTATCATCCTTGCGTGCGCTGTAAATCACACGGGCCAGAGATTGTAACTGTCTGCTACATTACCCAAGACACTATCTGTATGTTAGGGTTTGTGAGGTGGCATAGAAACAAATCACGGCTGATGTTTGCTCCACAGATTCCAAGTCTGGTTCCAGGCCAACCTTCCAGGTGTTCTCCCTGCGTTTATAGGCGTTCTGGTGAGCAAGCCCTCATTTTATCATCTGTGACAGGCACTCTCAGGAGCATGAACAGAGCTGTGTAAACACAGTTTACACTCCAGAACGCCTGTTGTCTCATGGGTTGATTAATCATTTATTCACAGCTGGAATTTACTCAATCCTCAGCTATTAAAGCAACTGCAGTTGGGACAGGTGGAGGTGGCATATGGAGGTGACTGGTTGCAGGGTAGAAAAGGCTGAAGTTGCAATGCATCTTAGGTGAAGAAGGGGAGAGTTTGTCAGTTCTGCCAGTCTTTTGATGACACTACGTCCCACAGGAATTTCCACGTGCAGCCCAGTCCCATGAATGGAAACCGTCCCTGTCTGGAGGACAAGGGTAGCAATCTGAGCTGAGTGAAGGCTAGTAAAGGGAAGAGGTTTCTCCTGAAGCTGGGCTCTGTCTCCAGCAAGCCATAAACATTTCAGGGGACCTTAGAAAGCATACACATGGAGGTGCTCAGAAGTGAAGGGAGGTGAAGGGAGAAGGAGCTGTGCTGAGAAGGAGCCTGAGACCTTCTGATTTCTAGGCCAGGACTTATGGGTCTTTTACACACCCACTGTGTGCCTTCATCCGATTGCCATGGTGACCCCACTGATGCCCCGTGATGGGGTGCACGTGACAGCGCTGTTTACCTGCTCTTTGAGGACTCGCTTTCTCTTGATTGACTTTTAGAAGAGAGATCCCAAGCTCACCAACACCTCAGCTCTTTGCCAGTGCATTGGCATCATGGGGAACCTCAGCACTGATGCTGCCATCCGAAGACAGATGGTCAGCTGTGAAGATTTTGCAGACACCGCCTTAGGCCTCATGGTATTTTAGTTATTCTATTCCAAGATGGGCTTCTGTCTTCTGGGAGTATCTTATTCGTCATGGTTATCTGGAATTTCAAAAAATGCTGTTTTTGAGGAGGCTAGGGCAAGTGGTTTATCTCTTCTATAACTTGAGAGTCCTGGGCTGCTAGATTTGCAAATCCTCTAGGCTGTGTCCTGTCCACCCTGGAGAGGTTTGAAAGATTTTCTGGTGACCCTGGCTTGAACATACATGGTAGCCAGTCTCCTGTACTTACACTGACACAAGGAACTGGTCTTGGGTCCTCCAACACCACTTAAGTTCAAGACTTTGGCAATTTAGGTAGTGCGAGTGGGGATGAGACCATTGTTGGGGGGAAGAGTTGACCATGGGAAGACAGAAAGGCCATTGATTGATTGCCTTGCTGTATATCCCCAGGCCAGGTGTGAGGAGGGCCTGGGCCTGTTCAGAGATGTCATCTATGCACTCCTGGGTCTCCTGATGAACATGTGTCTGCACTCCCCCGTTGTCTCTGAGGTACAGTCTTCTTTTCTCCCTACCTGGAACCCTGGGGCAACCTCAACATGCTCTACTGCCTGAACTACTCTTAATTTTACAAAGCGAATGGAGGAAAGAGTGTGTCAACATTGTCAGTGGGAGTGGGGAGAGAGAGACAGGCAGTCTGCAGTGTGGTTGTGCAGAGGGATGGACGAGTCATCCAGTTATTTATTCATTCAGAAGCACTATCCAAGGTCTAGGATGTACCAAGGGCAGTACTAGGTGCTGGATTTGCAAAGTCCTCTTATCGAGATTTTACCACGTAGTTAGGGGATCCAGACACCAAAAGACATAAGAGCAATGATATGAACGTGTTGCGGGAAAACTGTGGGCAGCTGACTGCGGCGGCATAAAGGAAAGAGTTGGTCACCTCCATTTGAGAGCTCAGAGGAGCTCCATAGAGAACTTGGGGTCCCAGAGGATTCAGTCTCCTCTCCCCTCCCTCTGCTGTTGCAGGCTTGGGCCTTGGAGGTGAGCAGAAGATGCATGGGTCTATTGAACAGCCAGGACGGCGGCATCTTGACAGTAAGCTTCTCCCGGGGAAATCTAGAAATGACTTCCAGTGGTCTCATCTTTTGTCTGTTTGTTTTGGAAATCAGTGGTCGTCACTTTTTTGAGGTCTCCACGCATTTGAGAGTGAACTGGATTTCTTAGGTATTGTGTAGGCACACTCCACAGAACAATGCCCATAGCACATACATAACAAATTCTACCTACTGTTTCTGGAGCTCTGAAGACCCCTGCATGCCTGTCTGTAGACTTGTTTGTGCAGGAAGCCAGGTTAAGGATCCCTGTTCTCTGTGGTCTGGAATCTTACCAGCTTCTGCAGTGGAATCTATCAGATGAGTCTTGTTTTAAAATACCCCTATAGCAATTGGTGGCAGGGCGAGCCGGGGGTGTGTGCCGTGGAATCTGTTCCGACAAATAGCAACCCTGCATAGGGTTTCCGAGGCTGTAAATCTTTATGAGAGTAGAAAGCTTCATCTTTCTCCTACAGAATGACTAGTAATTTCAAACTACTGACCTTGAGGTTAGCAGCCCAACTCATAACCGCTACTCTACCAGAGCTCCTTGGAAATTGGGTAGGCTGTGATTTTATTTGGAATCCCCTTTTCCATAGTCCAAAAGGCCTGGACCATAAATCAAAGCCAGTGCTCCTAGAGGCTACTGTTTATGCATAATGGCTCTAAGGCCCTTGGAGACAGATCCGGAAATCATTTTCCTAATTCCGTTTCTGACATTTAGACGAGAACACTGAGAAAGGTCTTTGGTCAGCACAGTGTATCAGGGGAAGGATACTAAGATGATTCAAGAGTCTGTTGGTCATCATTTTTGGATGTGTTCTTCACCCAGATTAGTGACCACACTGTTTCTTTGCCTATCAGGACCCGGGCCCCAAAGCCTAGAGAGAATGTGGACAATCAGGGCCAGATCCAGGCAGCTGTGGGAAGCCGCCCTTCAAGGACCACAGACTGGGCACTGGGCCAGGGTTTTAGTAAAGGTTCTAAGTAGATTCAACATACGCTGTTTAGGGATAGCACTCCCATAACATCCCTGAAGCCGATTCAGACCTCACAGGAGTAGGATTTTCAATGTGCACTCCATGAGTGTGTGGCAGGTATTAATTTTCCATCTTATAGTACATTGTGTTTGTGCGTTTTCATGGGAGGGGCATCACAACTTTTGTCAGAGCTTCAGAGGAGGTCCAAGCCCCTAGAAGTGGTAAGCACCAGTGTTCCCAGAGGCTGGGGCTTTTCTGGAAGCTTCAGTCCTAAAGCTAGGCCTGTTGTTGTTATTAAGTGCTGTCGAGTCAGTTCCCACTCATAGCAACCCTGTATAGGATTTCCAAAGAGCAACTGGTGGGTTTGAACCTCCGACCTTGTGGTTAGCAATCTAGTGCTTATCCTACAGTGCCACCAGGACTCTAGGGCTATGCTCCAATTAAGCCAGTCGCCATTGAGTTGACTCCGACTCATAGTGATTCCGTGTGTGTTATGATGGAACTCCGTAGGGTTTTCTTTTAAATTGTTGTGAAAAAATTTGTAACATAATATAAGCCATGTCAGCAATTTCTGTATGTGCAGTTCAGTGACATTGATTACATGCTTCAGATTATATCAGCATTCTCAATATCCTTTTCCAAATCATCTTAAACCACCATTGTTGTTGTTAAGTGCTGTTGAATCGGTTCCAACTTACGGCAACTCTGAATAGAGTTTCCGAGGAGCAGCAGGTGGGTGTGAACCACAGACCCTGCGGTGCTAATCCTACAGCGCCACACCAGGTCTACTACCACCTTCATTAACATAAGATAAATGTGCCATAGGATTTTCATTGGCTGGTTTTCAGAATTAGATCACTGGGCCATTCTTCCAAGATACCTCTAGAGGGATGTGAACTTCCAGCCTTTCGTTAGCTGCTGAGCACATTAGCCATTTGCCCCACTCAGGATAGACCATTCAGGGCTATGTCAGTCCCTAGATATCGTCAAGATATCTCGAGGGTCAGATTTCCTCAAGATTCTGCATGTGCCCCAGTTGGGTGCTTTCCAGCAGCTGGACAAGGTTGTAGCTTCACTGGGGAATCTAGTCCTTCAAGAAGACTCTGTCTCCTCTGCACTGGGCCTGATGAGATGTGTGGCATCAACTTCAGCAGGATTCTAGGATCTGTAAGGAGCAGACTACAGAAACAGGGCTGATAAAATAATCATGCCCAACTTTATCCCCTCTCCTTCTGCTGATCTCATTTGGTAGTGTAGTGGTTACGAATCGGGCTGCAAGCCTCAAGGTCAGTAGTTCGAAACTACCAGTGGTTCCGCGGGAGAAAGATGAGGCGGTCTGCTCCGGTAAAGATTTACAGCCTCGGAAACCCTGGGTAGGGTCGCTATGAGTCGGAACCGACTCCACGGCACCTAACAACAACAACAAGGGCATTTAAGAAGAAGACAAAAAACTTTAAGAAAAGTAAAACCCATATTGGCAAAGCAAAAGGCAAGTTCAATGGGTAATTTCACCAGGTTTCTGGCAGAGGGCTAACAGCTGTAGGGAGTGGTGATCAGTGAGGCAGGGCCGCAGAACCTTCCTATAGAGTAAACAGAAAGGGACGCAATTGGGAAGGTAGTGCCCTGGAGAGAGAACTGAGTCTCCAAAACACCAGGTGACATGAAGGGCAGAAGTAAGAGGTGGAAGGAACTTGCATTTGTCTCCCAGGCATAAAATCGGGGCATTTTTTTTATTTAAAGGAATTGAAATAGTAAAGAGTTTTACATTCTAATATTAATGGAAGGAGTCCCTGGATGCACAGATAGTTAAGCCCTCAGCTCCTAACTGAAAGGTTAGCCATTCAAATCCATCCAGAGGTACCTCAGAAGAAAGGCCTGGCAATCTGCTTCCAAAAGGTCACAGCCTTGAAAACCCTATAGGCCAGCTCTACTCTTCACACATGGGATCACCATATTCCATAATCGGTTCTACAGTAAAGTTAACAACAACCACCGTTCAGGGGCACCATCTCCCAATTGAGACTTCCTTCAACGTAGCACAGATGACATTTTCTTAGGGTTGTTGTCATTTCCCTTAAATGTGACTGAGCAACTGCCACCAGACATCTCAGGGAAGTCTCCCACAGAAAAAGAAAAACCAAGACTAATAAACAGAACAATTGAGCCAAAGGAAACAAATCACATAGGAAATTTAAAATATTGACTAGTCTAATTTGTATCCTTGGAGATATTCAAGACGGTGTCAATATCCTTAAAATGGAAATCTTCCAGAAAGTAGTACAAAACCACCAAGATCGAGAAAACACACAGATAAAAGGTAGAGCGGCCTGAAGGCTCCGCCCAGGTGCCTGCCCAGATGAGGACACTAGTTTCCTCGGGTTGGACCCGCTGCCCGTGTGAAGCAGCCGTCAGCCGTGCTGCTGTGCACCAAGGAGCAAGGTGTTCACCCCTTGGAATGGGGTCTCCAGCAGCTTTATTGAAAAGAACCACATTTACCATCTATTACTTGACCATTACTTGTTTGTTCTGTTTTTTTGTTGTTATTTTACTAGCAGTGCAGGTGTTTCCAGTACTAACGATTACTAGTTAACTCTTAAAGGCGGTCCGCAGTTCTGAAAAGAACATGTAGTCATCCTGCCTTTTCTGCGGTCCTTAGAGAGCTGCCGGCGTTTTGAGCCGGACCCTTCCGTCTTCTCTGAAAATCGTAGTGGAGGCCCTGCAAGCAGGAGTGGTGAAGAAAATGATTAAGTTCCTGAAGGTAACGTATCTTCATCGGTTCTAGCCTCTTGAATTTCAAGGCATCTCATCATACGTTACAGGGGGAAAAGAATTAAGGAGGGCTTTGTTCCATTAAAGGAGTCCTGGTGATACAATTGGGTTAAAACCTGGGCTGCTAACCACAAGGTTGGCAGTTCAAACCCACCAGCCACTCAGTGGGAAGCAGATGAGGTTGTCTGCTTCCATATTTACTGCCTCAGAATGCCTTCTCAGTCTCCTCCCTAACCCCCATGCTGCCAGATTAAAGGCAAACTCGGGAGTGTCTGACAGGCCTGTGTGGCAGAGCAGGGATGAAGCCCCAGCTACCCTCAGGGGAATTCTCTTTAACAACTTCAGGAATTGCAGCTGCTCTCTGCAGTTACTGGTCAAGAACAATCGCAAGATTGATTTTTCTTTTTCTAATTTCATTCTGAAATCTAGACCGGAGGCCCGACTGCGTCGCATTATGCCATCAAGACACTAGCTATCTGCACTAATAGTTGTCATGAAGCTCGGGAGGAAGTAATACGATTGGATAAAAGTAAGTGACCGTTTCATTAAGCTGAGTCCACACCCCGGAGGTTAATCCATCCTGGAAGCCAGCCACAGTGAGAACTGGGGAGGAGGAGTGAGAAGGGACTCTTCACCTCTCCCCAGTGTTTACTGGAGAAGATGTCCTTTCACCTGCCACTTGGGAAGCATTTCATTAACCTCTTGGCTGCATCCACATAGCAGGCCCAGGCTGGAGAGGGAGATGAGAGACAGCTCAAAGGCACCAGGGTGGAAGCTTGTTCTCATCAAGTTGAATGGAAATCATTTCTAAAGCATTCTACTTATACTAACCTAACTTCCTTCAGGAGGGCGGAAAGCCCATCAGCCTTTAGTGAACAAGGAGAATACCAGAGCCTGAGCCTTGCTTTAGGAGTCCCTGGGTGGTGCCAGTGGTTAAATGCTTCACTGGTAACCACAAGGTTGGCGCTTTTAGTCTGGTAACTTAAATTGGCTGTTGTTATTCTCAGCTGTGAATCTCAGCCAAGGCAGCCTGCTAATGTTCTCCTGAGCACCTCTGGAATACTCGGAAAATGATCACAGCCGGGCACCTTCCTTCTGCCTTCTGGTTTGTTTTTTTGTCTGCTCGTACTAGATACAGCCACGTTGCTGCTCAGTTAGGGTTGTTAGGTAGAACTTCTCCCATGGTGGGAGGTAGAGCTTCAGGACAGGAACCTTAGAGAAGACAGATCTGGGCTCAAGTCCTCACTCTGCCACTTACCAGCTGTGTGGTTGTACGTAAGTTCTGCATTTAACCTCTCTGACCCCCTGTATCCTCACCTGTAAAATGAAAATAACTGTACCTCTTCTCTGGTGATGGGCTAAAGATTAAATAAGTACATGATGTGATTAGCACAGGGCTTCGCTAATGGCAACTATGTATGTTAAGACCTTTTCCTCGAAGCCTCTCTATAGTGTCTGTGTTAGGCGGTGTTGATGGGTGCTCTCCAGTATGGTAACCATGATAACCATCAGCCATGTGTGGGAGTCCTGATGTGGCACAGTAGAATAAACATTGGACAACTGACTGCAAGGTCGACAGTTCAAACTCACCTACTGCTCCTCAACATTTAACAAACAGCCACGTGTGGCTATTTAAATCCACCTAAATGAAATACCTATTCCTCAGTCGGAGTTCGGGTATGGCGTTGTGGGTCCATGTGCTGGACTGCATGACTATTTTGAATCATAAGGTCGGAGGTTCATGCTCACCAGCCGCTCCTTGGAAACCCTATTCAGGGTTGCTATGAGTCAGACTTAAGGGCATGTAATAACACCCATCCATTATGCTTGCTGTGTTTCCCATGTTCAGTGGTGGTTACTTGCTGTGTTTCCCATGTTCAGTGATGGTTACTT